GACAATCATTTAGTTGAAGCTAACCTCGATTTTTGAAAATTGGCTGAGTCACGGAAGTCTATAAATAACAAAAACAATGAAAAACTCGATTTCTCATATAATGACACTCCAGATTAAATATTTGAAAAGCTTTGGACCGAGGATATGAATTTTTTACAGTAGAATAAGTGTTATACTCATTGCGTAAAACAGTCTATGCGCACTGCAAGGACAAATAAAAGTGTCATATTCGAGTATGGCTTGTTGGTGTGATCCATTATAATATTTTTTCTGTTATAAGTGGACGACAATCTGTTAATTACGAATGGTGCAATACCACTATACAAAACAATAGCGATGCTTTCTTTAAAGTTTTAAGTACTGGTTTAAAAGAAACAACCAAATGAGGTCCACGATATGTTTTATTGCATGCAGGATTTTCAAGTTTCCTTCCTGGTATAGCGTGTTTTGATGACAAAGAAAAATGATGGCGACTATCACGATTAAATGGATGCCGCATATTTTGAGTCGTGGTTTAAAGAGACGTTAACACCAAATTTACCAAATATGGTCAGAGGAGTGTCATTGTAATGGACAACGCATCGTAAAACTCCCGTAAAGAGAGATTCCCTAACAATTCCTGGAATACAGCTGCACTCAAGGAATGACTAGGAGTGCTATTTGAAATCCGAGATATTAGAAGCAGATCGTGCTTGGAAAGATCAATACTTAAGTTAAGCAATATGTAGTACCCATAATAGAACTTTTAAAAACGAAGAGGTGCGCCAGTTTATCGACGACGGTTTCGCGTAAAAAAACAAAGTTAGCGCAATTATGTAATTCATGTCGTTGAGAAAACGGAAACTAAGATGTGGACCGCAGACAACCTACAAGATAATGTACACCAATTAGTTATACACGCAAACACAAGAAATAGCAGCGAAAGCGAATCCGACATCTCGGATGTAGAGGGCGATGTTATTATAATTGAATATCGGAGAGTAACCTTGATTATTTTATAGCCAATTCTATAGAATTTATTAGTCCAATCAGAGTATTGGACTTTTCGGGTATTGGACTGGGTGCACAAAAATCGAGTATTTTTGGATATTTTCCCGTTGGAAACCTTTTCGACAGCCTATGAAAAGTTAGAATAGGAATGTCCAAACCGTCTCATTCAAAGTGGAACCATTTGGATGTCACAATGGCCACGTCAAGTCTGACGTAGAGTCCGACAAATGCCTATTCCTATCTTAACCGTACTGCACTCTGTGTGAATTTTACTTAAGACAAATCGTAATTGTTGTATACAGAAAAAATTGTCAACAGTATGTGAAAAGCCGGACAACCAAGTACGGTATTAAATATTATGAGTTATGTACACCAGAGGGCGGCGCTCAGAATATGTACATCATAATAAAATAAATATTCGATAGAACAAAGAGATTATGATAGTTGTCTTCTTTGTCAATGCCGCTCAACAATGATAGTTGCATAATTTATTTCTTCAACTCTTGTCCCAATTATTTAAATAAAATACACCACCTAGTTTGTGAATAATGTTTATAATAGTGTAGATCTATATAAAGAGTAAAGGTATATATATATATATATATATATATATATATATATATATATATATATATATATATAAACCTGTGGATAAATTTGTCGTGTAGTTTTCCTGTGTTGCGACAGTTTGTGGACAGTTCGTACATATACAGTAATCTTAAAACTTAAAACTAGACATTATAAAAAACATGACAGTATTCTCTTAATAAAAAAATATTCCTAAATTTTGGTAACCCAAAATTGAGTAAAAAAATATTTATGTAATTTACTGAAATATTTTGAATAAATATCCAAACATAAAGAAAGACGAACAAGTGAAAACTGATAAATATTCTTACTAACAATTGTTAACTTTATCAATAATTTTTATATAGTCGAAATCAGTTTTTAATGCATACACTATTAAATCTTTTTACAAATATAATCCCTATAACAGAGTTTTTCAAAACGTCGCCCAGTCTACCGCAAAGCTAGAGGTGAAAAAGTAGTGCGCGAAGCTTAATTTGAACAATTCGTTTTTACAGAAAAAAATAGGTTTTGAAAATCTTAATTTCATAATTTATTCTTAGAATAATAAGACTGATTGTGCAACGTACCCATACTGTTTGAATTTAATCCTTTAATTTACAAAAGTAGAGAACTGCGAAAAATTTGTAGAGGTGCTCAAAAATGTGTCTATAAAAGCTATCCCCAGAGGATGTAGACAACGATATATTCCCGGGATGCATAGTAGCAAAATAGCATGGAACCTTTTAAAAATACTTAATCGCGGTAATCCAAAAGAGCATAAACCACCTTGCAAGGTTACAGAAAACCAAGTCGCTGCTCAACTTCTTATAAATGGAAAAACTACGATCCGATATATGGACCCTAACACTAGAAGATTGGATTCGGAGACAAACCACCTAGGAACTCCTTTTACATTAAAAGAACTCCACGACGGTATGAAAAGTTTAAAAAAAGGGAAAGCTGCAAGTGTATATGATATATACAGTTAACAAATAAACCATCTAGGCCAAGGAGAAAAAATAGGATCTTGCAACTTTATAACACGTGCTGCATTGTCTGCGAAATTCCAAAGTCATGGAGGAAATATAAAGTAATAGCCTTGTTAAAACTAGGAAAGGACCCAGAAAATCCCAGTAGCTACAGACCTATTGCGCTGTTGTGTCACTTTTTCAAACTATACGAGAGACTCATACTCGCCAGAATAGAAAAAAAATGTCGACAAGCACCTCATCCCACAACAAGGAGGATTCAGACCCGGCAAATCTTGCACCGCACTTCCTCTATGCTGACGATCTTGCAATATGTGCTCAAGGAAATAGTTTTGAAGAAAACAGTCAAAGACGTGTTAAGACGTAGCCCAATACTGGACCGAAATTTTATGAATGACATGTCCGAACACGATAAAGTAAGTAAGAATGAGTACAGAATAAATCAAGTATACGCCGGAACAAAACTGATCATTATCACAATGAATGGGAAGAAGATTATTTCTTAACTATGAAGAAAGATAAATGTATGCTCTATTTGCAACACAACAGTAGATTTGGTTGAGAGAGCAAACGTTGAAAAACATTTTCTAATAAAAACAACTTACAATGAAGTGTGATACTTTTAATGTAATTGGTGTAATAATTTCTAAAATTACAAAAATATACAAAAAATATGCAAAATTATTTATTAAAAATGTTTTCGAACCTATCAGATTACCATCAGTGATACCTGGAAGTAGGTAAATCTACATGTGATTTATGTATAATTACTTACTTGAACCATTTGCAAAAAGCCATTTCCAAAACCTTTAATTTATAAGTATAAAACCTTTTAAGTTTATTTAACACTTTAAATGTAAATTGAAATATTTTTATACCGTTTTGGAAGTGGTTTTTTGCAAATGCTTCAAGTAAGTAATTATACCACATGTCTTTTGTTAATATTCAAAATTTTACCGTATTTTCATTAAAGTGGAATTTATGGATGAATGGGTCGAAAACATTTTGAATAATTTTGTTATCAATTTGGATATGAATGCGATAATACACTAGAGTGAGAAAACGGAGGAAATGATAAATTATACTAGTCGCACCAAAAGAAGTGCCTAACGAAATGAAAGCAAATATCAATTACATGAAAGCACCAGGGCTTCATTTAATTACTGGGGAAATCTTAAAACAATTCCCTAGAAAAGCTATAAAGCTGACATACATTATAAATGCCTAGTTCAAATTAAGATATATTCCCGAAGATGTGGAAAGTAGGTCATGATCCTTAAACCTAGAAAGCAACCAAATACAGTATCATCGTACAGGATAATTTCCTTACTACCTGTAATTTCGAAGCTATACAAGAAGCTATTGCTGAAAAGGCTGAAACCTCTTATAGATGCTAAGGCTCTAATTACATCACACCAATTTGGGTTTCGAGAAAGTCATTCAGAACCATCGACCAAGTCAATAGAATAACGGATATATTATAGAGGTCACTAGAAGACAAGAAAGTTGCGCAAACTTTTGATAAAGTATGGTATGAAGTACTTAAATATAAATTAAGCAGGATTTTGCCGGCCCGTTCGGCAAAGTGTGCGCGTACCTTAATGCTGCAAGATTTGTAACGGGATTAATGGAGATTATAGTTGTAAAAATATTAAAAAGTCAAAGCCATAAACACACAATATCTTTACTTGTACTATCACTTTAAATCCTTTTGGTCCAGTAAATTATATAAAAACTCTACGCAAATATTATGCAAAGCTGTTAAGTAAAAATAAATTAATATATTTTAAAATAACACGAGGATGATAACATAATAGCCAAGCAATCTCTATTCAAGACCAAATTGACTGTAAAATGGGTATAATAAAAATATCTATATTTTTAAACAAAACCCGTTCATACTCACAGTGTGTAAAAATATTAACAATACAAATAGCACAAAAATTTTATTTGTACATTTCAAACGCAAACGAAAATTGACGAAATTTGCTAATTAGCAGATGACAAAAAACGGTATCTTGATTTAATGGCAGATTTTTAGGTAATCTTGATCCTAGATAAACTCAATGTTGCAATAGTTTTACTTTTTTTGGAAATCATTTATTTCCCTTTATACATTTTGACTTTTGTGTGATTGTCGAGAATGGTACTTGGTACTAAATTAATTACGTATTTTTACAATGAGGTAGAAGAGGTAATCTGTTTAACTACGTATATAGACAAAATAATCAACACAATTAAGTACTGAAAATATGCAATATTCAATATGAAAAATAGATATCTAAAAGTAGCTATTGCTAAAAATATTAAAGTTCCTTAAATGTTTCTAACAGTTGCACAACTAACTGTTTAATGAGCATACTTTTGCCAATTTTCTATATGCGTTCTATAATAAACTAAACTAAAAATCAGCTAACTGAGACAATAAGTCTTATCTATATAATCACAACACTATCGACTGCTTCTTCGCCTATTCAGAATATCGAATAGTACTTCAGTATCACTCCTCTCATCTTCGCTTTCACTAGGACTCTCGTGCATATCTTCTTTTATCAAATATTCTCCCATGTCGTTGCTTTCTACGCTTTTCTCGTAAGGACGACTTTGGTGCCTCAAGGGTTGATTCTTGATTTTATGGAAAACATGGAATGATATTCCACACAAGCAGGTTACCAAACCTGCTATGTTTAAGGGAGATAGTTGATCGTGATTCCACTCTACAGCTATGACTAGTTGTAACACTTCCTGTAAATATATTTAAAATATTATCTAGTACAATAAAGGAAGTTAGTATAATACATTATTAAAGACCATCAGTTCCTCTTGGTTCAACGAGAACCCCTCTTGAACTGGGGATCCAAGAGGGTCAAACAGCACCAAAGTTATAGATAAAAGATCAAAGGAGTTATTGCGCATAATGAGTCTCTTTTTCGCATTTCACCTCTAAATCCAAACTGTGTGTTGTCTAATTGTTCTTCATATTTTTTGTATATACGCTGTTGAATGACTTTTAGTAGTATTTTTAAAGTGTGACTAAAGGGTATTCATCGCAATATTTAGGATTATTTTTTTGGGTAGGGGTAAAAAGATAGATTTTAACCACTCATCAGGAATTTGACCGTCGTAGTATATTTTATTAAATAATTTAGTTAGACACTGTATATTTTTAATATTTCTACTGAAATTTCATCAGGACCTGGCGCTTTATCTCTTTTTAAGTTTTAATTGCCTGTTCCACATCTGATATTAGAATTTGTATATTTTCATTAGTTGGTAATGGATCATTTATTTCTTACTTAGTATAGGTGGTAAATAAGTCCATGATGTATTTGTTGTTTCTCTTCTGATAATTGAAGATCTCCATTGGAGTTAATTGTAATTTGTGGTATTCTCTTCCGGTATCTCTTCCGTGTGTTTATGTAGGTTATGTGTGTCATGTTTCATATTAAATTCTTCTATTTCTTTGCAATTTTCATTCATCCAGCGTTCTTTACCTTCCTTGATACCACTACGATAAACTATATTTTCTTCTTGGATGAAGTAAGGCACAAAATTCTTTTCACATCTGAACCAAGAAAAAGACACTCCAGGTAGTATTAATTTTTATTAATTTTTTTTTAATAATTAGTTTTTAAATTTTTGAGTCGGGATCCAAACAACTAAGCAGCATCTTTGAGAGGACTCAGATCTTTCACCAAATCATTTATCTCTTCCTAGGAGAACAACTTTGGCCTAGAGTCATTTTCAAAGTCTGATTTGAGTCCTGATCGTCCTGAGGTTGTAATCCACCTTCATTTGAGTCTGGTATCTCTCCTAACGTAAGCAGTAACGTAACAGTAGGAAAAAGAACAAGAGGAAGACCGAAGCTGAGATACTTAGAACAAATAGAAAATTATATAACAACATTAAAAATTAAAAACTGGAAAAAAAGCACGAAACAGGTCAGAATGGAGAAGAATCCTTGAACAGGCCAAGACCCAAAAAGGGTTGTCGAGCCAGTGATGATGATGATGATCTCTCCTAACGTAATAGGATGCTTTGGCACATATTTTTCAGTACCATGAGGAAGGAAGAATAGCCAATGGAGATTGGGCGTAAAATGAATTGCTTTGATTTTGAGTTGAACGTCTTAACATTACTCAAGCAGAAGTAGCAGTAGTTACTATGATTCCTTTGCTTTCGCCATGCCTTTTTGAGGTACCCCAAAGCGGAAACTTTTCTTTTTACCCTTAAACCAAGTTTAAAGATCCTCCACACATTTTTTGCCAACTTTAAGAGGACCTAAAGTTTTAGTCCAAAGTATGCAAAATACGCTATATTCACAAAGTTTGTTTTATGGAGTTGTTGAGTGAATTTTCTTGAATTAGTTGAATTTATGCACTCTTACGAGACCGTGTTACGAAATTATTATGTAAGCAAAATTATAATAATAGCAACTGGTAAGTGACTTTAAAAAGCAGAAGAAAACAGTATACAGCATGAGTGTACATATAGTATATATACCTTGAGTCAGCTATCGAGGAGCACTTCTGCGCAGCAAATTCGAGCAGTGTCGAAGATGGAGATAGTTGAATGGTAATTAGCAATATGTGATGAATTTCCTGTTTGTTAGCCATATAATATGATCTTCTGTGGGTTTCAAAACACCGAGTGCAAGGTATCATGACTTAAACAAAGGAAAACGGGCTAAATCTGAATTCATATTTTCTGAAAAATTCTGACGCCCTAGACATTTTTCTTTTTGGATGCAGATCTGTATAGGTATTACTAATTTAAGATGAGAAATTCTCTTTATTTCTTATTAGAATTCAGAAATATTATAATCAAAATTAATAAAGAAAGCAATGTTTGGAAAATTAAAGGGATCAAATATTTTAGTTTCCATGTTAAAGTGTTAGTACACACAACACGACCCTGTTATCGATTCATTAATACTAGGTTTTTTTTTATTTTCTTTCTCTAATACTAAGTTTAATTGTAATGATTAATGCTGTAAAGGAAAATTAAACTTACCTTAAAAATTCCTGCTATTGCTAAAGTTAAACTAGAAGTATAAGTTACTACCGTAACTTCAGTAAATTCCATGAAAAATGCAATAAATGCACCTAATAAGACCTTCAGAAATTGTCTAATAAAATTTGCAGAGTCGTCGCAACCCCAGAGATGGCAGTTTTTTATTGCATTTGGACCTAAAAAATTATTAGCATTTAAATCTATCTATATAAAAGGCTATGATGACAGTGACAGGTCACACTGTAATTCCAGTCAACTAACGGCGCCATCTAGGAAAGAAATACGAACTACCATATTTTAATCATGTTTTGTTCTTGAAACGATACGTTTATATGTTAAATAAACATACACATACTATAAAACTAAAATGAAGTTTAACAAACGTCAACGCTTTACCAAAATAAAATAACAACTAAATAAGATTAAATAAAGGTATATAGAATTAAACAAAATTAAATCAAGTTAAACAGAATTATGTAGAATTAATTTATTAAGCGTTTTGTGATGGGGATAGAATAGTTCATCGGGTCGTGACATATGATACATAATTGGAAAGGAGAGGCGGTAGCGAATATGTTGTGTTTGGTCCGATTGGAACGTGTGATACATTAAATGAAAGGGAAGGATATCACATTAAGATAGAAAAAACAAACAAAGCGACTACCAAAAAGGCACTACACATTGTCTTCATTAATAACGAACGTATAGAACGTATATATAAATAAAAATATATTTACTAGATTTACATGACTTGGTTTTCTCATTTTGTTTTTTTTTAATGTTTTTCCTTTTTATTTCTCTTCATTTTGTTCATTATATTGCACAAACTAATAGTATGTATTTCCAAATGCACAACTACTTTATACCGTGTGCTTTTATGTATGTTGCTTCTTTTAAAATCAAAACTTCACTTTCATGTGCATCTGTTAATAATATAAAAGATATCAAATAATATATATATATATATATATATATAATATATATATATATATATAATATATATAAATATATATATATATAATAAACAACATATAAACGCTAAAAAAATATATATTTACATTACCTTCTATGAATATCGCAAACGGTAATACAGAAAGCAACATCCAAGGTTGCATATGGTATATCATGTCTACAGGATTGTTCATACCCATTTTTGACTTTTGTAATAAAAGTTGTACGCACGTCCATCGAATCCCGCTAGCTACTGACGCCATTAACAGCAGCGTGAATCCTATTATATTGAATTGTGTAGATTTGTAGGTAAATAATATTAGTCCCACAGTTATCATCAAAACTATACAACACAGACTCCATGACTAAAAATAAAAAACAATTGAAATTTGGTATGTATTATGCACAAGTAGAGTATATTAAAAATGATCCTTGTTACGTGTTTATAAGATTGCAGTATGTCAATACCAAATTTTATAGTGGCATATATAAAGAGGAGTCAGATCTCTGAAGGGTTGACCTGGACGTGGCTCTTAACATGGTGTAAGTATAAGGTACAATATAAAAACAACTGTTATTAAAAAGTTCTTAGAAATATTTTAAAATTCTCAGAAAAGTACTCTTCCAACTGAAGTAAGCGAAGAGCAGAAGATATATAAAAGGTCCAAAGGACACCATGAACACCAAATAAAAGCGAAGAACAGTCAGAAGATAAATTCGATTTATTACTTAAGAAAATAAGAGGAATACAATCATACTTAAAACATATAGAAGCTATTAAAAAGGAGATGCAAGAAGTGCGACAGAACTTCCAGAATTACAAAAAAGAAATACAAGAACTAAGGCAAGAAAATAAAATACTGAAAAAAGAAAATGAAGAAATTAAAAAGGAAAACGAAAAAAACAAAATACAAAGAAAGATGGTAAGTGTCGATAGCAGATTGGGAATTGTGGATAAACATATAAAGAAAATAATGTAGTTATTCAAGGCTGTCTTGCAAATCTGATGAATCCGATAAAAACTCAGTGACGGATCTGCTCCAGAAAGATTTGTAATTTGCAAATTGCAAAGATTTGCAAATTGCAAGAATTTGCATAAAAGCAATTAAAATCTAAAGAAGTACGTGCCTAATTGAATTGAAAAACAATGATGACAAATAACTGGTTATGCAAAATAAATATAAATTAAACAACTTGAAGGGGAAGAGAATATACATTAATGACGACATGACCAAGCAAGAATAAGAAATACAAAAAAACTTACGAAAGATTGCAGGGGAAGAGAAACAAAAACGGAAAGAAGTCAAAGTAGACTACTGGAAGATAACGATAGATGGAATAATTTGGAAATATTTGGAAATTTGGAAAGTGTTTTTGATGAATCAGTGGCATCTCATATAGAGAGTACAGCTTGAACTTAAACGATTTTTTACCCCTGACCACAACCTGTTTTGAACGAGTAAATGTTAAAATACTCTTAATTCTATAATACGCAATTTTGTATAATGTTAAGCACAATTATTTTTTCTAGATAGTATAGATGAGGCACATTTAGTTACACATTTAATAAATTGGATGAACCCCGAAAGACTATAATACTATATATGTAGAATATATTCATGCAAAACAATTTATTTCCACTATACTGGTCCATGCTAACCGGCTTATTTCTAACCAACCAATAGGAGCTCTGAAACTACCACTCAGCTGACCCAGTGAATCTTACAAATTTGAGGTTATGTAATGGTTTATTGCCAATAAAAACAATTAGTAATTACTTTATTATTTAAAGGATAATGAATGAGCAGATGGACATATAAAAAGTATATTTTTATCTGCCAAAGAGGAAAAAGAAGAAGTAAACAAATTACTAGGTATGAAGCTCCTAAAAGAGCCCTAGTTTTTGTACCGTTTAAACACAACAATAAACGCTTCACGTGTATAAAAATAAGACCTATTTACATCAACGCTTTCAAAGAAGAGTTTTATAAAGTTCCAGACACGAAAAGACAAGACAATATAATTGGCAGTCTAATTCATACAACACAGACAGAAGACATAGGCAAGGTCTGTAAACAAAAGAAAAAATAAAAAAACCTGGACCTGAGCCAAAGAACTCAATACAATACTTTTTTCCAACTGTGTCTTGCGCTAAAACTTATGTATATTTAAAGATTTTTTGCATTGTTATTGGTATTGACAAAACTGCAATAAAAACATAGCCAACTAAGTGCATTTTGGGTTTGCTGTTGAAGGGAAAAAAGGAGGTGACTCTACAAAAAATAAGGACTATCTGAAGAAGGAAACTGTTGAAAGTACATAAGAAAGCTCAGTAGAATTGAATCACATTACAGAATATAGGAGTCCGAAAGATTATTTCTGAGTAATGAGTTAAGTAAACTAGTGAACTAAGTAAAATATTAACATATGTTTTGAGCCACCTGCCTCCGATACTTACAGTACGTGCTGCCTTTTCAAAGAACAAATTAAAAGTGCACCAACACAGTCTGCTGAAAAGGCACAGCTAGAGGTTGAAATGCGGATTCATTCAAGAAGAGCAAATGTGTTTTATGAGTATATGGAAATGGATGTTTCTCATTCTGTTAGCCTTTGCTTTGATCTTTAACAAATTCTACCACATCCAAAAAGTCCAATTCTAGAAGCTTATTACGCGATACAACTTTTACGCGGTTTTATACCTTTTGTATTACTGATCAAAAAACTCAAAACCACATGTTCTACACTTGGACAGAGAAGCAGGCAGGAAAAGACAGTGTGGAAATATCATCGGCTCTCTTTAACTATTTGAAAGAAGCTGATTTTTAGGACTGTTCTGTATTAAGGTTGTTTAGCGATTTTTTTATTTCTCAAACTAAAAATATTACTGTCCTAAGAACACTGATTCATTGTTTGGAAACACACAAAACATTATTTCACAGGATTTTATTATATTTCGCTATACGCGGACATAGTTTTTTAAAACGCCGACCGTGTTTTTGGAAGAGCAAAAAAAAAGTTGCGAAAAAACAAATAATTTTAATTTAACAGGAATACCATGACATCTACAGTGGTATAGGCAAGGTAAGAGCATTCGAAGATTGGTCAATTATTGATACTAAGAAGCTAAGTAATATTATAAGAACATTCAATTAGTAAACTGAAGAGCATTGAAATATGCTACCGGACACAATAAGAAATTGAATACCTCCGAAAAAATGGGAAAAGGAAAGTCTTATAAAAATATTGTGTTGGTAAGAGGCTTGAAAAACTTCCATTTCCTAATGTGTTAACCAAATAAAAGACGAAGATGTTCACAAACTTTTGAAAAAAATGTTTTTCTGACCCACGCCTTGGTTGGTACAAGAGTTTGATTTTTGATGAACCCACTACAGCAGCTGCTGGTAAGGAGCAGGAAGTAATGAGTGACTGTGTCGACGATAAGCGCTGTGACTTCCACATTTAAAAAACTGTTTGTTGGTTGCATTAACTACCTATTATGATAATGTTTGTCACTTAGGTAAGGCCTATATTATTATTTTACAAAAATAGAAATTCTTTCAGAAATCCTCTGTTCCTTTACTTTATTTACATGCAAATCATCTTATGTCCACAACATTTTACATGCAAATCGACTTATTTCCACATAAATCATTATCCTTTTTCAGAGCAAAGCTACAAGTTTTTCGCCCTCCCTGAAAAATTACTTATTTGTGACTTAAGCTTGTTTGCATTTTTGTTTATATAAAAATTTTTTGTATTGGAGTATCGGGTATGCGGTCTGTTATTAAAAAAAAACTCTTTTTTCTTTTATTACTCTATATTTCGCTGATTTTTTGTCAGCTTCATCAGGAGACAACTAAAATATGGTTAAAATTTATATAAACATCAGGTGAGATTAAACAATGATTTACTTACAGATTTAGAGTTAAAAATGTTTAAAAACGTTGTACATAATACATTCAAAACAGTAGTGACAATATTAGTTAAAAGCACCTAGGTCACTGGTAATTAAATATAACAAAAAAAAAAAATAGCAAACAAAAACAACCAAGAAACTGGTAATGGTCAACTGCCGCACATGCATTCTTCTTTTTTGTGCAGTCACTTTTGTGTTGGGTGACCCTTTGTTTTAGCCATTGAGAAGTTTGGCCAACATAACAGCTCTGGCAATCCAAACAAGGCAGTTTGTAGATAACATTAGTTTTATTTACAGTTGGTGTCTTGTCTTTTACTTTAGAAAACAATTGTTGGTTTTCTAATAAATTATATTGGACAATTTTGATGTTAGTAAATGGTTTGAATAAACTAGCCACAGAAGGTGTTAACTGTTTTATTAATGGTAGTTTTTTATATTGGATTGTTTGTAGTTTGTACTGCTCCGTTATCAGTGGGACCGTCAAATATGTCTGAGTTAAATATCAATTTTTTAAGGATAAGTTTTGGGTATCCATTATTTTCAAAGATGTTTAACAGCAAATTTAAGTTTCTGTTTATGAATTTATCATCACTAATATGCCTTACCCTATTCTTCATTGCAATCACTGTATTAAACTTTTGATGAGTAAGATGATTTGAAAAAAAGTTTAAATATCTTCCAGACTATGTTGGCTTTTGATACAAATTTATCAATATTTTGTTTTGTTCAGTTCTTATTAATTTGGTGTCCAGAAATGATATCGAACAATCATTTACAATCTCTAAAGTAAATTAGATATGTTTGTTAAAGTTATTGAAAATGTTCAATGTATTCTGAATTTGTGAAGTAGGAACAGGACATATAAGAACAAATTTTTTAATGAAGGGTAAAGGGAAAGGTAATTGCGGAATAATGACATCCAGCAGATGGTTAAAAATGATGGTTGCTATTATGGGGCTGAGTGGACTACCAATAGGTGCTCCAAATATTTGTCGATAGAATTTATCATTAAAGCTAAAATAGGTGTCCTCAAAAACATAATTCAGAAGTGTTAAAAACTATACTTAGAAATTGTTGTATAATTTTGGATGAGATTACATTTTGACTGTATTATATTACAGACCAGATCTATTGGTATGTTAGTAAATAACGATATGGCATCTAACGAAATTAAAACATAATCTTTCGGTAAAATCAACTCTCTGACATCATTAACAAATGAAAATGTATCTTTTGAATTATAGTTGTTCACTTCGTCAAAAGCATCTTTAAGAATGTCAGCAAGAAATTTGGAGTCATAAGTTACCGAATTTATAGAGCTTACAATAGGTTTAAGTGGTATACCTTCTTTATAGATTTTTGGAAAGCAGTCAAGTTTTGGACAAGATGCATTGTATATAGTCAGTTTCTTTGGTAAATTCTTGGCATTTTGGCAAATTTATTTCCAAG